CCGAGAGGAGTCGGACGTGGCTGAGGCGGTGCTGATAATAATACGACAGTGCGATTTACTAGAGTGGCCGGTTTCACGTCAGAATCCTGATCTTGCCGAAATGCCGTGAAGTGAGTAAGAAATGATATTGGGTGAGTGAAGATTTTCAATCGACCCAATTCTATGCACAAGGAGGTGGAAATTGTAAAAATAACGTTGTAGAAATGTAACTGAACGCGCGAAAAATAATATTTGTTACGCAAAGTGTGACGGCGATGTGTGCTACAGGATCTAATGCGGTGAGCGTTGACTGTCAGTCCTATATACGGAACGGAGAATGTCGTGTTCATTACGCATGACGTATTAGAACTTCAAACAAAACTTTAATATTACATCGCAATACCAGGGAGCGGTTGCAGGAGCTGGGGTGAAAAAGAGGAGGGACAGAATGCATGACAAGGAAAGAAGATGTGGTAGGGGAGTAGGCTGCACCAGGAGCGGAGCCAGCGCGGAGAACGAGATGCTTTGCCGACAGGAGTTGGCTGTGGCTGAGGCGATGATAACATGGCTGTGAGACGTTCGCGAGGGTAGGGTGAAGAGCAGAGAAAAGTTTGGACACCAGCCCCGATGAATATCTTGCCGTGAGAAGAGTGAGAGGAAGATAACGGTGACGAATGCCACATGTACTGTTGTAGTTAGCGAAGTTTGTCAGCCGGGTCAGTTTTATATTTAGGAGACGGAGATTGGAAAATTATTCTCGTCTCCTCCCATGCCATGTAATCTTAAAACAAACATATTACATCCTCATCTAATTTGAAGGGGTAGAGAAAAAGAAGAAGACGAAGAGGAGGAGGAGCAGGAGGAGGAGGAAAGGGGGGATAAAACGGGCGGCAAGAAGAAAGAAAAGAAAGGCGGGAAGAGAGTTCCCCAGAGAACGGAAGCAGCGCGGAACGGAAAAGTAGACAATGCCAAACGCTAAGACAATTGTAACTCGAGAGGATGGACTAGCACGAGGGGTGTGATGTTTGTGATTGCCAAGGATGAGATCAGACGAATGAAAAAAAATTACCAGAATGGTGTTTGGATCGTTTATGGATCGTAGATGCACTGATGTGGAATTGCCAATCGGATCACCCTTACAGAAAGTGTTGTACTTCACAGTAAGTGTAGATCAGCTTTTATCATGGGAGGTGACAGAGCCCTTCCTCCAATAGATCATGACAACCGGCGCCAACCTACTCGTCGGTTTATGGGGTTTTCTCCATCCTGGTATTTCCCATCAGCTGGGCACCCCTCCCCAATGTGGGGACAAGCTCTAAGCTCCTGACTGGTGTCCGGACATATGTTGTAGTGTATGTGTAAGGCGATGGGGCAATGGTCTGCCCCCGCTGAATGGAGAGATCCGGCGCCGACCTACTAATCAGCGTGGGGAAGGAGGTTCCAGCGGGGCACCTTCCAGGGTGCCCGTACCTCAGCCGGGACAAGCTCTAAACTCCCGACTGGTCTCCCGACATGAGTGGTACTGTAGTGCAGACAAGTGTGTGTGTAAGTAAGGTGTAAGGAAGAGGAAGCAAAGATCGCGCGCGGTCCGTGGCCCATTTCTGAGGGTACTGCTCTAGCATTCGCCTGGTGTTGACCGGAGAAGCCACGTAATATTATCGATCAGAGCAGTCAGCCGCTACAATTCTCCTTTAGATAGCAACTGTATTCGACGAAAATCAAGCTAGTGTCAAAACTCCTGCCACCGCCACAATTAGAACCCTAGGACCTCATGGCCAGAGGCACTGCAGAGATATCAATTGATGTCCTGAGCTACCTCAGACGGATAGAATATCGACATTTGTGTAACATTAGTTTGATTTTTCAATTATCTGTACAATTTAATCGAACTGTTATCAGTCTTTCTATTTCGATGACTGATAATAAGACTGTTCTAAGTCCAATTTTGCAAAAGTTAATTTATGCTTCATTGTGATATCTCCCTGTCTAAAGGGAAAATGTATATATGTGTGCATCAAACAAAATTGTTAATATTCCACTCTCTTAGAATGCAACAAACTCATTCTATACTAATATATTCCATACTTACCCGTTACGTACAAAACCTCTAAGTGGCTCTCCTGACAAAAATAGAAAAATGGACTTGGAACAGTCTGATTCTCAGTCTTCGATTTGTTTACACAACCTTACAACTAACGCAATATTAGATCATTTGCCCATGAACAATGCGAGGTTATTTATTTATTTAACGACAGAAAATGTGTAGACTGTGATGTGTGAGGTGAAGAAATGCTACTATGGGTGTATGATGGGAACTTTTCCAGTTGTGAATTATGGAATTCTCATTTTTTTAAACATTACAAAATCTCTTTTTATATATTTTACAAATAATATATGTGCTTATTTAAACATGAATTTTATTCTATACCATAAAAAAGCGTCATTTTTTACTTTCAGATGGAAACATGTCTAATATTTTATGTACACACTTGATGATGCGTGAAACCTACACGCAAAACGACGCGAATGTAAAATAAAAACGTGTTTGACTAATTATCTTACCTCACTGTCAAAAATATAAGGATATTTGTGTTTTATTGTTAATTTCATGTGACAATAACAATAATTCAAGATTTGCCTTGATTATTTATATAATTCTTCTTTCTTTACCTTGTCATTGAAGCATCCTAACAATTATCTACCTGCAGTCACCTTTGCTTACTGTCTACACTCAAGTAATTGCTAGTAGGTTAATGCATTTGTAGGGCACACGGCAAAATTTAATTTGGGGGATAATGAGAGGCAGAAGTGGCGAGGGAAATGAGGTCAGATGTATGAGTCGGTGAGTAGGAATGAACAATGATGTCAAACACACTTTCCGCCTTTCTGAAGAACGTAAGTCATGAATAGTAGTACACCTCGGGTTGGGGAAACGACAATCAATTTACCCCAGTTCCTGATCTACTTCTAACACAGTAAAAGGAAGAGAACGCAATTTGCCGCCAGAAGCAAATAAAAGGATCAAAGGGAGCGAAGGAACTAAGAAGGAAACGGAAGCCAGAATTTCGCTGTCAGTGACGAAGCTGCAGCGTTCACGCAGTTCCTAGCACATTCCTAGAACACTCAACCGCAGACGGCGCTCGTCACCCGCCATCTATCGTCGCCCTCAAGTGCTTCTCGTGATGCGTGGCAGGCGCCTTCGCTCGCCGTCAACCGCCGTCGGGTAATTCCGCAGCGGCGGGGCGCTCGCGGCCCAGACGGCGCGGGGAAATTCGCTGCTGACGGAATAATCGTGAAAGGACACATGTGCGAACAGCAAAATACCGGCTGGAACCACGATTCTCCAGCGAGTGGAATTAGTTACTCTGGCAACTTGGGGATAATGATTGATTGCGGAACATGTAACAACGAGTGAGCCAAACAAGGCGTTTTGTTTACAATGTATTTAAATAAAAACAGTCTTCGTTTTGGGAGAATATCAAAGAAAAAAAGCAGTTAAAACGCTCAAAATAAGCTCCAATTTGTTTCTTTCATTTTATTTCCTCAGAGAGAGAACAAGGAACTCTTAAAAAACGCCACGTCTTATTTGAATTTTCCAAAAATTACAAAGTTTACAAATAATGCGAAAAAGTATTTGCTGTTGTAAAAAAACTTGTTAGTACTGGGATGAATAGCGCCAGTCATTTTTATATGTTCAAAAAACTGTCACAAAAATTAGTTATGAAAATTTATGTTATAATGATAATGACAATGTAATATGTAATTATGAAAAAAAATCAGAATATACATATGATAAGAGACTACTGATGTAAATATGGATGCATTGGTAAGTTGTGGTTTCAATTTCGCGTTTTCACGGGAGTTGTGAGCCACAATGAAAAATCCATCAATGCAACGCAGCACACGCAGAGTGCAGGGAAAGACACTTCCTACACTTCGTGCACCGCACCGGCAGTGGTGAGCCGCAACCGGATTCCTGGGGGACATCGTGCGTGCGTTCTTCTGGGGCGTTATCTCAATGATTCACACACACACACACTCACAATTTGTCATTTGAAAAGCCAATAGCTGTGGCGCCGGATGTCCCTTGGAACTCATTAAGCGGGTAAAAATTAAATGCTGATGACGTTAAACTAGTACAAAAATACACAAAAATTACACTAATGAATATGAATTTAACTTATATAAAGATTCCTCGGAAGATTGTTCTTCCTGAATGCATCATGACCCTGACCAAGTTTTCTAGAACTTCCCTTGTTCATGGCTCTCCCTCCTCACTTTTCTGCTCAACCGTCAGCACGCTACGGCGTGTACTGAGAGCCATTCAAAAGCGCTTTACATCACTTTGAGAGGATATTGCGTCACCGCATATTGCGCGATCATGGAATTCCAGACAATGACCTTGTGCGAGATCGAACACGTCATAGCCATGAAGAGATGCAAAATGAAAAAGTATAATGTATTAGTTTAGAAAACAAAATTAGTTAGTTCGGTAAAAAAATAATACCTCAATACAATATACATGTCTAAAGTGCATTGCTCGTCATGGTTCACTTCAATCAATTTTAACGACATTTCACTTTATATTTGAATCATAATTGTTTTTTATATAACTCTACTAAGGTTAATCGTTCATAAAATATATAAGAAAACATAAGCTATATCCGCGGCAAAAATAAATGGATGATGCTATTTCTCCAATAAACTCCTGACTTTTTAACTGGAGCATCTCTTTCTCTTGCTGGGTGATTAGATCTCCAAAAAATTGTTGCTTATGAAGTGACACCCCGACTGCATGCAAAGCCAAAACCATTGACGTCCCGTTTCGTACCAGTTATTTAAATGAATTATAGCATGAATCCCGTAAATACCTTTTGTAAAAGCTGGATTTTGCACGCCAGTCAGAGATGCCTGTGGGTGGTCCAGTTGTGCGAGCGCGCCGTGCGACGTGGCGGGGCGGCGGGACGGGCGGGAGATGGGCTGGCGGTGGCGGCTGGGTGCGGCGGAAGGTGCCCTGGCCATCACCGCATTCCTCCACCACAACCGCTTCCTCGAGGAGTACGGCGAGGTGTGAAAGGTTGCACGACGCCATCTGGAGGGGCGTCTTCTTCCCTGGGCAAAGATTTATAGTAACGTGTTATGCAGTAAAATAACTCATTTGAGCATTCATGAAGAAATGTACGCTCGTGAGAATTCAATTCCTTAATGTTTGGTTTGTTTCAAATTCCGCTCATTTCTTTTTTACAATAGGAATGTCAATACATTAGAATCGCCGGAGCCCTTTGCGGTTGCAACATAACAGTTTCTCTTTCTTTTCTCGTGTAGATAATTGGTAATCTCGTAAGGTTTATTGTCATAAAACGAAATCTGAACAATATGAGCACGAAGATGATATTCATGTACGTATGCTCTATATTTCGCATAATGAAGTAGTAAGCATACTATTTCTTTCTTGGTTGTAAATCGTCGAATTGCTCGATTGTCGATGATCGGCAAGAACACTTTCGATGAGTTTCATTATTTTGTACTGTCTTGTTTTGACCACAAGTAAAACTATTTTAATAACGTGTTGGCATTGTACCTGGCATGTTCGTCATATGTTCCCTGGTATGTTCACCATGTACTCTGTTTGCATGTTCATCAAAAGTTCTGTTGCATGTTCAGCACATAATTTGCTTATTCACATGTTCTCTCGCACGTTCAGCAAGTTTTTTATAAAAGAAAATAATCCATCATCTATTAGCGTTTATATATTACAGATGAGGATATATGTATTATATTATAAGGATTAAACGTACATAAAGGGGATACTTAAAACTCATTTATTAGTATAAGGAAATGTATCATTGAAAAAATTGTTCTTGGAAAACAGTTTTCCTTCAGACATGTGCACTAGAACAAGGAAATCACAAGCAACCACCAAACACTTCATGAACGGCTTCTTCCCTAAAAAGAAGAAGGATTCCACAGCAAACTGCCGGAAATCACGGTCGAGAAAACTTAACTCTTAAGTTACCACAGGCTTCGCCCCTCTCTCTGACGCATTTATTTGAGCACCATCGCCGCCATTGTGGTGATCACTGTTTTATCGAGAGGTTTTCCACTTTACGTCGGCCGCGAAGTTCCGCCTTCTCCACGCCCAGCCGCTGCTACCATCATCCCAGTGTCCAGACCCCTCTCTCTCCTCCGCCAACGTCCATTGATCCCGCCGCCGCTGCCGTCATCACCCCACCACGCCTCGTCTCGTCTCGCCTCGCCTCGCCTCCTCATTGTGTGGCTTCGCTAGCACCTTTGACGCCTCGGTTGCTCCACTTCACAAAGTGGCCGCTATCATCCTAATTTGTTTTCAATTAACGAAACACACAGACACACGGCGAACGAATAGTGGCGCTCTTCTAAAGAAAACCCACGATCGCCCGCCGGTTCTCCTCGCTCGTCCGAAATTTAAAGGGAGCAAAAACGTAATAAAGAGGCCGAAAAGAGAAGAAACAAGACGTGAAAAAAGAGGCCTGCGAAGAGGGAGGCGTCGCGTTCGGTGCGGCGAATTGTCTGCGCCTACAACCACCCGCTCCCCCCTGATTCCTCCCCGCCTCCTTCGCTTGAGCCCGCTCTCGCTCTCGCTCTCGCTCTCGCTCTCCCCGTCTGTCATCGCCACCGTCACTGATCCGCACTCACCGCGCCCAGCCGCGTCCGCCCACTCCCGCCCGCTTCCAGCCGGCGCAGCCCGCAGGTCACGGCTTGACGCGCTAATACCGACAGCGAGATTGCGCTCCGCGCCACGCACGCACCTCGCCCCCGCCAGGCCCCGCCCGGCCCTCCTCTTACGATGCCGCAAGCTGACCACGTTGCTGGGCACTGTGACGTCACGGGCAGATTTTCGGCCTCACACCAGATGTTAGGTCATTCCTAAAACTTCTTCGGCGTGGGAATTGGGAGGCGAACAACGCAAACATGTTTTTTAAACACATCTTCGAAATAATCAATCATATGCTAAATATATCAGGTAAAATATAAGTATTTATAGTAGGTAAAATATTTTACATACACTAAAATGTGCAAATCTGTGTGCAATTTAGAGTAAAGTTTTGATAGCACATATTACTTATGTATTAAACTACTAATTTATGTAAATGCTATCATGAAGTATACAGTTCTTCTTTGATACCAAGCTCAAGTTTCCTTATTTTTTTTTCAATCTTGCTAAATGCTTCTAAGAAACAACACTCTTTGATTTACTAAGAACTATTGTTAGGAAAGTCGAGTGTGCATGGTGTCTTACGTGATTATATTTTACAACCTCTTTCGATATAATACTTGAAGCAAGAAATTGCTCCCAGTTTCCTCTTATTTGATGATTACTCAGACCAACTCAATTTCTCAGAAATGACACATTTGTCAGATTCTCTCCTCTCAGCCTATCTAGTTGGTAGATGTTAAACGAGCTGAGAGGGTCGAGAAGGTCACCAAAACATGTGTGGAATCTGGAACAGCACTTTCAACGTCTACGTAAAGCTCTGACTGTGACGTGAATCACTAACTGGGAGAGAAAGATGTTAATCATACACATGGCAATCTAATATTTTAATTCAAGTCAATAAGTAAATAAATAGAAAAGAAAATGGATAATTCAAGAATGAATATAGAGAATGAATGAATATGTGTGTGTATCAATATCAATTCAGAACACTAAACCATAAACATCTGTTCCCAGAAAACCACAAGGTACAGTTTCACTAGAACATCTACATAAGAACGAAAGAAAGCACAACGAGAAAACGAAGAGATTTTGGCAAGAAAACATATTAAAAGCAACCGCTAAATCTACTGTCTCTGTATCATGTTCTAAAGTTCCTGAATGAGCATAACGAAAAGAAGGAAAGAAAAAGAAACAGAAATAAAGAGTGGGAAGAAAGGGAAAGAACGAAAGAAAGAAAGAGAGGAAGAAAGAAAGAGAAAGAAAGAATTAGAATTTTTAAGTGTTCTTAATTCTGAATTCATTGAGATTGATTGGAGAATGTACTATCTCCATTTCTACCATGAATTTTAAGTGGCCTTGGAATAGAAGCATCACCACAATTCCATCTAGTAGCGATTAGGTCGATGAACACTTTCACAAATTTTGCGTCATTTAAGCGAAAGATAAATATTTGTCTATAAAATTCACAATTTCGAATCCGTGAACTCAGTGTACACTTCGATTCACGTGTTACACCCTCGAGGGCATGCTTTAAGACGAAATTTTTGCTATTTCTACTCTTTATGAGCAATTACTGGAAACGAAAGGTAATGAGTTTTGGAATGTGTATACCTACGTTCAAAATAAAAGTCATAACATTAATTAGAAAAGAATTAAAAAATATCAATGCGTGATAAATCCAGAATTTATATATGGTAAAGGTCTACTGATGTTAGAATGGATGCATTACTGGATTGCAGTTTCAATTTTGTTTGCTCACGGGAGTCGCGAGCCACAATGATGAATACACTCTGTAATATCAGAAACATAGAGCACTCAAAAGAACGTGTTACACCATCGAAGGGCTGCTACAAGAATATTATTTCTCCTCTTTATGTGCAATTTGTGACAAGGAGAGGTAAAGAAAGGCTTGCCCAGTGCCTTCATGCGCTAGTACTATCCTTTTTGTGGCCGCTTCGCGCGGCGGGTGGGCCCACTGCAGAGAGAGCTGCGCGCGGTCCAGAGCGGCGCGGTGCGGCGCGGCGCGGCGGCTGCGGTCGCCCCGAGCGGCCGGCGGCTTTGTCGGCGGCAACGCGGCGGAGGGTCCATCGGCCGCGGGGCCCTGGCGGCGACGGCGGCGGCGGCAATGAAGTCATCACGAGGGCCTCCTCCTAATTACAGAGCGCGTACTAACTGCGGAGCGCCGCACCGCGCCGCGCCGCGCCGGTCACCCGGCCCCCAGGCCGCGCTGCTGCAACGCGCGAACGCTCACGCCCGCCCGCACGCCCGCTCGCCTCCTGCCACGCCCCCCGGCACGCAACGCCCCGCCGCCGGCCGTGGCTTCGAATCTCGCTCGCTTAGTAAAGTACTGTTATGAAGGATCTTTCGCCCGCGCCTCTCTACAAGACGGCTTGGTTCTCGAGATTCGCGATTATCTAGGTCAGTGATTCCTGCACTGTGTCGATTGACTTTTCGAAAGTATGTGGCGGTGGAAAGGACAAGGTGTTTCGTTTAAAGGTTTAATTGTTTTACAAGAAAATCTAAACAAATTCAAATAACCACTAAACTCTAATTACTTTTAGCAAATCAAATCGGGGATCGGCTGTTTTCTATTTGCAAAAATTCGTATGTTTGGATAATTCTTAGACATTAAGTAAAACAGACAGCAGAAATAGAAGAAAACTTAATTCAAGGTTAATAATTATGTAATATGAATAAACCATACACCCTAGGATTTACATAAAAAATAATTCACAGATTAAATTATGTTTGAAGATCCGTTAAACAAAAATGTTTTTTTCTCCCAAAATTAATGTGGAAAATGGTGGTAATACCAGAGTTGAATGTCAAGTAGAATGTCAATCGAAATGCATGCGCAACGTGCTGCCATCGCTCGCGCGTTCGAATTCCACACTGAAAAGCAAGGTTATTAAGAATCTTCTGTACGCGCCCCAAGTCTCGCTCCTCTCCGAGGAGGTCGCTTACGTTCTGAAGATTCACGTTTATCCAGGTCAGGGTTTTCTCCACGCCAGGAATCGACAGCGAAAGCCTGGGCATTTACTCATAGAAACGGTGTTCCTCCACATTTTGATATTTACGTTCTTTAGGAAAAACATATTCTTAAGATGTTACGTTAGGAATATTGTACGTTTTATTCGCTTCGTAAAAATCAAAATGAAATACAATTTTCAATTAAATGTGTACACTCCCCCTGCCAAAGATGAGAGACTGATTTTGGTGGTAACAGTAGTAAACAGGACAACAAGAATTATTTGAATATTTATATGCAATTTCTCCTTTTCATTACGAAACTGATCATTGTTGTTAATAGTGGGCAATAGGTTGATAAACACTTGTATTTTTATAACACTTATAACGATACTGATATCAGTTTGACTTTAGACAAAGTTTGACTTTAGACAATAAAGTGGATAATATTTTGGAATGGAGGCTTAATAAAACGCAAATTGTGAAAATCACTAATGTTTTCAACAAAATTTACATCGTGGAGAACAAATTTCATCCGAAGAAAAAATTTCCATCTTCAGTAATGTAAGTGTACGTGGGGTTTCAAAATAGACGAACGTTTGCAATTTCAAAAAATCAGTAAAAATCGAAACTAATCTGTGAGACAGTGAAAGAAAAATAACAGAAAAAGACAGTCACAATCTCTTTAAATGTATTTCAGTAAAATCTTACAAGACATTTAATGAGAAAAATTACAGCCATTTTGGGGACATGTTGAAAATTGTTCTAGGCCAGATCGATCATGTAATATTCATTTTAGCGAAAGCCTTAGAATTGTTTAGGCGCTAATGTTGTTCACAGGCTGATGGACGAACGGACTCACCGGAGGAGTGACGGACCGACAGACGGACAGTTGGACTGACGGGCGGACGGACAGACGAACAGACGGTTAGACAGACGGATGGACAGACTGATGGATGGATGGATGGATGGATGGATGTACAGACGGACGAACGGATATTTTGTAAAACAATATTTGTTTGAAAATTAGGTGCATTGGAAAAACACTGCCCAAAAGATAAAAATAGTCTCCTTATTAAATCTCCATTCATACATTCATGTTCATAGAAATCAAAATTAAACTTAAGACACTATTAAAATAATACATTTTATTTACATATTTATAAAAGACATATGTTATTTCATTACATTAAGTTTAATTTTGATTTGTAAGAATCAAATAAATATAATTTGATTTAATGAAGTGACAATTTAAAATTTTCTGCTTTCTCGTTCACAGTTTGAGAGGGGAGCATCGTGTTATTTTGCAGGTATTTTTTACAGCCAACACCTCCGCTCTTCTCACCAGCCCCTTGCGAAAGCCACCAGCACCGCACGCCCCTCCCAAGAGGGCCCTCCCGCATGCCACCGTGCGAATGCCGAGCCTTGTGATTTGCGAGGTAAACGTGCCTATTAGTGTGATAATGTTCCCAGGCCTTCTTCCGCCCTCCAATGTCTGCGGTGTGTCTGTGAGCAATGGCTGTTCACATAATGACCAGGAAAATACCTTTGGGTGCTATATTACGAAGGTGTGTGGTGGCTTCGTGTCACGGAAATGTAATTTTAA